TTTTGATTATATGGAGCAAAACCTGATATATACGAAACACTGATATATACAAAACATTGTATCGTTTGTACAGACTTAACGTCAAATGGGATTGGCGAATTCACAAGTCCAAATTTGGATGCAATGGCCCAAACATGCAAGTGAAACATCAGTGGAAACCACTCGCCCAAGTGAAATAATCGTGACATATAGTAGAATCAAGTGCATTTTCTGAGCTATACTAGCATATTCACAGATACACACATGATTTTCACGGCTTTAATCAATCAAAAACGTGCATCCCACGAATATACGCCAGTAATCAACATACCACTTCGTCCGCGCCAAACCGAATCATGTCGAGCATGTCGTTCTTGGTCAAGTTCTTTTGCTTCTCTTGGAGTCGGCCTTGCTGCACGACCATCGCGTCCAGCTTGAGCTTTTGCTGCGCGCGCTCGATGATTTTCTCCTCGACCGAGTTCGCCGTGACAAATCGGTACACATTCACCTCCTTTTTCTGGCCAATGCGATGCGCTCGATCCTACAACATGGGTTTTATGTTCATGTTGTTTACCAAGTGTAATTTTTTTTGCAGAATCACATCAATAATATATATATATGTACCTGGGCTTGGAGGTCGGCTTGGGGGTTCCAGTCGGAATCGTACAGAATTACAATGTCTGCCGTGTACAAGTTGATTCCAAGCCCCCCCGCGCGCGTACTGAGCAAAAAGATAAACTTGGACGAATTCGGAGCGTTGTAGTCTTCAATCGACGATTCGCGGTCGTCGTACGATGTATTGCCGTCGATGCGGCAGTACCTATTAAATACATATATAAGAATCAATACCTCCGAAACTACCACAAATATGTACATAATATAAACCTAGTCCATTAAGCAGGCTTTATAAACCAGTTTATAGAATATATATTATATATATATATATGCATTCAAAACCTTGGAGGGATCCAAACACATGGCAACAATTAGCAACCCATTACATGTCAGTACTTGCCACAGAAAATCGCAATACAAGCTATTTCTAAAAGAACTTGGCTTTATATGATTATAAAACACCTGTTCAAGCGAAATCGAGCATGCAAGTCGAAGATGACCAGTTATTCTACATATATATCTTATAAAATATAACACTCTAACGTTCACACACAGGTCGTTCCATCGATCTCTACCGAATCTGCATCGTCACAGATCATTCAAATTCACCACAACACTGTGTCCCATATATATAATAAACAAGAAGCAGACGTACCCGTAAGCGCGCATGCGACAGAAATCCTCCATGATGTCCAAGACGCGGGTCATTTGGCTGAAAATGAGCACGCGGGACCCACGGGCCTTCAATCGCTTGAGCAGTTTGTCCATAAGGATCATCTTGCCGCAGTTGTCCACGACGTGGTCGCCCAGCGGAGGCAGCGACCGGTCTTCTTGGCCTTCAAACAGGTACGGGTGGCCGCAACACTTGCGCAATTGCCTACCATTTCACACGAATAACATTGATATAATATTGTGTTTCTTGTACACTGGAGCGACATGGGAATAATCGACACACAACCAAATAAACATGTACACAAGCATCATCGGCAGAAGAATCGAGCCAATCAGATGGCAGGAAACCGTCGTCACCGACATCGAATTAGTGTGTGACTTCAATTAGTGTGATGATACCAATCATCACACAGGACAACTCTGTTCCATACAAAAAGTTCATAAACTTTACAAAACCAATATTTTTAAACAATACGAGTGGTACGTTTCTTTTTTCAATAAAAAATACAATTAATCATCCTAGCTATACTATATATATATATATATTGTGCTTTCGAGTGAATTTTCGTGTTGTGGTTTCTCGTTGGAATTTAAATCGATTTGATTTGCTACTTCAGATGAGCTCAAAATTATTAGCCAATCAAAACCCTCTCAATGAAATTCAACAACCAATCAGATCGATTGTGGATCGGTTTGGTCGGTGCGATTCGATTGCACCACCAAATTTGTATATCAAATCGACAATAAACACCATGACTATTTATTCATTCTCTTGGGTAGTGTATGAATACACACATATATATATATACATATCCACCACACACCACGACAGACACCAAAACTCGGTAGATTTGGACAAGTCCTACAAATTCAAGCCCGACGACGACGTACATGACGATGTTCTGCAGCGCGCTCTTGGACGCGGCCGACCCGCCCGTGAGGGTATTCATGTCACGGAGGAGGAGCGTCTTGTACAGCGCCTTTTGCATGGGCGTCATGCCGACAAACAGCAGCGTTTCTTTCTTGGGCGGCAGCGATTTTTCCACGTCCGCTTTCAACCGACGCAGCATGAACGGGCGCAAAATGCGATGCAATTGCGTGATCATTTGTTTCTTGGCTTCTTCGTCTTCCGTGTCCAAATTGAACCTATATATATATATACATTGTTGGTTTAGTCGATCATTTGCGACTACGCGTACGTACCATTCGTCAAACTGCTCGGATGAGCTAAACACGTCTGGCAGCAGAAAATTGAGCAGCGCCCACAACTCGTGCAGATTGTTTTGCAGCGGCGTTCCAGTCAAGAGCAGCCGGTGCTCCGTCGCCATGGTGCGCACGATCATGGAAAACTGAGAGCTTTCGTTCTTGATGCGATGGGCTTCGTCGATAATCAGGTAGCTACATAGGTAAGTGTGAATATCTTGTCGTTATGCCAACACTCTGGAAATACGCATATAGGCATTTTCTCGTCGACATAGTCGGGATGATATTGATAGACAGACGCACACAAGGAATTCAACTATATACTATAACTTTGATTTGAAATATCAAGCATTTTCGGATATGTTCTTATCGCTACATAAAAATTAGCATTCAAGCAAAGGACGTTCTTTCGGGGATGGGTCACAATCGAAGACCATAAACGTACATATATGTACGTACTGTACACATCATAATAATATTGTTTATTGAGTAACGTGGAGAATGAATCGGCAAAAATGAACCGAAGCATCGGCAAAAGAATTGAGCCAATCCGATGGCAGGAAACCTTCGAATTCGTGTGTGATTTTAATTTCAGAGTGGTTGGCATTACCACACGACATGTCTTGCCATACAAAATTCAGTACAAGCAAACCATCGATTGATTTGGCGAATATACCATAAAAGTCCAAGTTTTGATTGATTTGGCGAATATACCATAAAAGTCCAAGTTTTGGATAAAGGACAAAATAACCACACAGAGTCGTCCAGTATACATGAAAACCATACAATCATATTAAAATCACACTATATTTTGTCAAGTCGATTCGAAATTCGAGTAGGGGCGGCTGGTGAATCGAATGAGCAGAATCACCAAATCGACAGACAATCGATATATCGACCAATCAAAAGCCAAAATATACTACTCAAGTGGCCAATCAAAGCCTCTCTTGGACCAATTCAACACTGAATTATTGTGTGTGACTGAAATTAGTGTGACAAACAATCAATCGATAGATTTGGCGAAAAATCAGCCCAAAATAGTCCAAATATTGGGTAAAAGAAAGACAATATCATCGTTGAAATACAGTCGAGACACGTGAAAATAATAAAAATCAAAATATCATTATTATGCTTTCGAGTGAAATTTCGTGTTGTGGTTTCTCGTTGGAATTTAAATCGATTTGATTGGCGACTTCAGATGAGCTCAACATTATTAACCAATCAAAACCTTCTCAATGAAATTCAACCAATCAGATCGATTGTGGATAGGTTTGGTTGGCGCGATTCGATTGCACAACCCCTCCCCAAATTTGTATATCAAATCGGCAATATCATGTACACAAACAATACAACAATCAAAATCCAGGATCCGTATATCCCTGACATGCCATCAAAACGTACTGCCATGCAAACTTGGACAAGGTGGATTTGGCCTTCAAGCACATTTCAAACGTCGTGACACACACGTCAAACTTGCGCTTGTCGGCGGCCAGGCCCGGACACAAAAGTTGGTCCACCACACGGTCGCGTTCGACCTTGTCGCCATGGAATTTGATCGCTCGAAGGGATGGACACCACCGGTTGAACTCGTTGAGCCAGTTGCTCAGTGTGGATTTGGGCACGAGCACCAGATGCGGGCCAGAAATGTTTTGAAACTACGCCAAGTATGACACAGAGAACGAGGAGGGGGCGGCGGGCAATAGGTACACGACGACAGTACGTACCTCTTTGAAGTACCCGAGCACGGAAATCGTCTGCAGCGTCTTCCCGAGCCCCATTTCGTCGGCGAGGATGCCGTTGATCCCTTGGTTGGCGAGGTTGACCATCCAACTGAGTCCTTCCAACTGGTATTGCCGCATCGTGCCAAACTTGATCACGCTGGGCTGCACCGTGAGACGCACCGTGTCGTGCTTGTCGTGCAGGAGCTCGTCGTCTTCTTCGCGCTCGCTCTTCTTCTTCTTTGTCGTCGCCGCCTTGGACGACCCTTTCACCGCCGGTGCCTTGACCCCAAAGTGCTTGAAGATGTCGCTCTGCCCCAGCAAGTAGTTGAGCCGCGCCGACGCCGCGTTCGCCTTTTTCGTCTTCAGGTCCTCCTTTTGACGCTCTTCCTCGGCTCTCAACTCGTCCTTTGCGTCCTTTGCCAGTTGACTAACGCATTAACAACAACGTTAGTGAGAAAGGACTGGCAGTGGGGACGGGGGACGGGACCTGACTTCGTCGCGCTTGCGCTTTGTTTCGGATTGCTCGTCCGTGAGAGGCTTCGCCGGTTTCTTCTCACGCTTCTCCTTGACGATTGTTTCCACGGTGACCTTGCGTTCCCGTTTCCCGTCCACGTCGAGCGCATACCGATCTTGGCGCCGTCGCTCGCGCTCTTCCTCGACTTGACGGTCTCGAAGCAGACATTCCTCGTCATACCGTTCTCGGTCGACCTTTGCAGCATCTAGAAACGGTTCGCGCTCTTCCGGCGTCAAATTGTTCCATCGAGCGCTGACTTCGCGTTGCACGGCCCCCAAATTGGCCGGATCGGTGTCGTTCACGTCCGTGATGTCGGTACTCCCTCTATTCTTGAGTTCTTCCCGCACGGCGCTTGTGATGTGCTTCTGGAAGTGAGCGAATGCGCTCTTTGGTTTTACCAGCGGCGCGGCGCTTGCTGCTTGCTCGCTCGCCATGATCCTTCTCGCGGGACTTGTGCCGTTGTTGCCGCGCAATTTTTGATCACACGTGCGAGAGGACCTCTAATACTCGATCGAATGGTATTAAAACACACAGTGCATGCGATGCCACAGGTTTCTGAGCCCGCCACCAAAATTGGAAAGAGCAACCCGGTCGAGTGGGCCACGTGTACGCATCATGCCACTACGCCAGCGATATAAGCAAGCTTAAAGCATCGCAAAACCCACGTGCATGTCGACAGAACGTACACCCATCATGTTCTAGTGTCCAATCGATTGCCAGCAGAATCGAAAGAATCATGGAATAGTTAGTATTTCTGTCCATGATTCAACATATTCCGAGCTTTTGATTGGTTGTTACCCAAATTATCCGGATAACACAATCGTTCACAAAACTCAGACATGGATGCAAGTTTTCACGCGTGGATGGTCGGTCCTCCATCTACGCGTGGGATAGTTTGTTCATGTCTGGCACTCATTTTCATATAAGTATTGACCGACATTGTTTGGATTGCGAAAATATTTTGTCCGGATACATCTCATTCTCGGACATGAAAGAAATATTAGTCGACCAGCACCTAGGCCAAACCATAGTACGTACTGATTCACAGTCAGTTCGGTCCCTCCGCATTACTGGACAAAAATCTGTTTGAATATATAGCGTTATACTAATAAATGCAAGGATGCCACCAAAAATATCTGAAAACATCTCTTTTTCCAACTTTTCAGAGATATTTTGACCATTTTTCGACAGCTTTTGTATGTTTGGCTATGGTGCACGTCATCTAGAAACTACCAACTTTTCACAAAATTTTCTGACTTCTATTTCATATTCATTACTCAAAATTTCAGCAAATTGAGACATAGAATCGACAGATCTCATTCTACGTCGGAGATTCAAATTTGGTGATGAATTGGTCCAGAAATACGTAGATATTTAACCTAGCGGTAGTGCTTGGATATTTGGCCATCCGCTGAGATGCATCTTGATTTTTGTATGTGACTCTTATCCGTATAAAGTATAATATCCGGAGGCAGTTGGGACCACCTTACTGCGTATTTGGATTTTGGGTTTAACTACATTAATTGTACGTTAAATAATAAAACCTCCAGTCTTCGGTTTGGCCAGTTGGAAGTTTTTAGATGAACGTGCACCATACCAAATCTGACATATATACAGTAATAGTAAATGAACATGATACGTCGAAATTTTACTGTTTTCTGACACACACACAAAATATTTTCGAAATATTTTCTCACGTCCCATTTGAAAAAGGAATGCTCTGTCAGAATATTATTTCATAAAGACATTCCTGTGTACTGGGTATAGTCTTGGCGTTAACCACAACATCCTACGCGAATACTTCAAGTATACCCACGGGATCTGTGCGCTCCATCACACAAGATGATGGGGGCGCTTTCGTGGTGGAAGCATCTGCGACGACTGTGCGTGTTCCCCCATTTCGGATCCGACTATTTAAACACCATTGTCAAGCACGTCCGAGAGGGGTTCCACGTCGGTGCAACGGGGTAGGGGCTGCGCTTGGGTCGACCAAAATCAAAGGCGAGGGGAGTTCGACAGTTCTCGCAACGATGTGATCATGGCCAAGTTTTGCAAAACAGCCACGCAAAGGCCCCCTACGATACGGCGTCGCCGATTTCAATCGACGCTCGAATATGCGATGACGGGGCAACGTCCTAAGGCTGGTACCCCGTGTAGTTGCCTTGTGGGGGTATCGATCTCGCCCGCTCACGGCCATGAACGTGACGTTGGCACGGCAGAGGCGAAAGAACCACGACGTACACGCGGCACCTACGGAACTTGTGGCTGGAGAAAGAGTTGATTGAAGGCACTGATAGTGATGTAGACGTAGGCCTTATGACAGTACCGGCGCAACAAAAGCGCCTAGTTATGATTCATCGTGCCATAAAGGCATGGGCGCGTATTACGCCGGATGAAATTCGTCGTGGCTTTACTAAGGTTTTCCTCAATAAACATGTTTGCTTTTGGAAGGAAATATGGACAATATCTAATTTTCTGGAAAAAGTTCGAATTGCCCGGGCTTCGAACCCACTCAAGACACACCACGTGTTTTTACTACTGCGCTATCGCGACAAACGCTTATTTTTATCGTCGCTGAATCAAAATAAAATACTTCGAGTGTTTTGACTGTGCAAAGTGCTGTGTCTGCTGTTTGATTGGCCACAATATCATCGAACTTCGAAGTACTTCAGCTAATCATTTTCCGATATACCAACTGTCCCTTTAGGGACAGTCCTGTGGTTACAGGAGGAGTGAGCCCTAATCGTGCACTTCATCGAATGTCCAATCGATTCCTCTCGCCAGGAAAAGTGGCAGGTAGGCCGTAGGCCGTGCCGCTACATACCCGGATGAGGCCTGTTCAACGATGAAGGACTAAAAGTACATTTGCCTTGAGTTTGTATGGGCATTTAGTCAATTACCTTAAAAAGTCATTCCGATCTGCGATTTGGGTCCAAATTAACACTAAGTTACTTGGTTAGTTGCATCATTGGTCGAAACTTGAACTTGAACGGCGATCCCCATACTTGACTCAGCATGCGGACAGAAACGACCAGCGTAGATGAAAGCAGCAACGCAGTCGAGATCAAATGCATCGACACGGGGGTATGCAAGTCGAGTGTGTCGCTGTGGCCTTTGCGTTTTTTGGAAGGTCGTGACGTCGATGGGGTGTCGTGGGCGGCTCCTTGGCAGCGTCAAACATGTTGAAGAGGCGGTATTGTCAAATCGATTCGAAACTGGAGCCCTCAGTAGAATCGAATGTCTTAGGAGAATCGATTAAAAGAACCGCCTGAGCCAATCAAATCACGTTATGTCAATTTTCTGCCAATCCAAACGTTTGACCCCTCCGCATTGGGCAAAACCACATATATATTAATCGTTGTATGTATGGTACTGTACATGCACAGCCTGAAAATTTACCGGTAAATCAATGGATTTCTCATACTCCCTTTCAATCCATCATACCGTCGCCCGCTCCAAGCGCCGAGTCAAAGCAATACTCGTGTCGCCACTCGAGACGCCCGCGATATTAGGGTACCGTCGTTATTTAAAATGTAAATTCGACAAAAAGTACTTCGAAGTAGGAGCTTTCCACGAAAGCGTGATTGTACAGTAATACAATTCCCTCATTAAAACAGTTCCACTGCTGTTTTGACCCGAAATACTGTTTGAATGAGATGTATAAGGAACTTTGTATGCTCAGACCAGACGGATTCCCGGGTTACGGCTACTGGCGAAAAGGTGTATCCGGATGTTATAATTCCCTCATTGAAAATAATTCCTTCAAGTATAAAGTTTTGGTTCGAAATAAAAATTAAAAATATTGAATTTATATTTTCAAAAAGATTACTTCTTTTAAATTTAAATAATGTTTTTATTGAAGATAATATATAAATATAAAAAACTTGGTTACAGTATTTCGGGTCAAAAGTCCAAATTTGGGTGAAATGCACAATAATATAACATGTGTATAGCCGTCACGCGCGAGATAGCACATCGACTTGAAGTACGTGGCGTGGGTGGAGGATATTGTACTTCGAGATCCATGTCGCACGAAGCAGCGGTGGTCACGTTTTACCATTAAGTAGTTGAAGGCCAGCGAGGGGCTTCAACACCCGTCGTCAATTCATTGTACGGCATGGCTGACAACAAATGAGCCACGTTAACTTAGCCGAGTTGCAAAGATTGACAAGTACTCTAGGTGGCGCTTCAAGCGTCACAAACCACCGCCTTTGGTGAACTGACCCTGAAGCCAATTGTATTGCAGCGGACAATGGCATCCAGCCGACCCTGCAGGTACGCTCTTGATACCGTCGTTCTGCGCATCGTTCGATGGTGTGGCGGTGTAGAGCGCGACAGAAGGGATTGTCGGCACGCGGAGGAGTTGCACCTCAGCACCATGGTTATTTATGTATCAAAGTGAGATTCCATAAAGCGCATTGTGCCCGACTGTGGTCAAATTATTGCACCATTAGGCAATTTACTGTTGACAATCCATTTTCTACACAATATATGCCACCAATCAATTTTGTACGTCCAAATTTTTGCATACAACCGTGAGTAACTTACGGTTAACGCGGACTGATTCTAAGTATACCCTACCTTCAAAACACCCAAACGAACAGTACAGTGGTGGAATTTCTAATTATACAGTAGCACCAGCAGCGCATGTTAGCTGGGGTTAAGGCATCGCTTAACCACGGGAATAACGTTATTATACTTCGAAATACCCGTGCCCACCAGGGGTAGGACAAAGTCCCAGGTTACAAGTTTTTTTTTATATATGTGTACGGAGTCTTATCTTAGGAATTCCCCCACTAAAGGTATAGTTTGGGTGTTTAAAAGGGTAGGGAATACCTGCTGTGGGGGAAATATTCGTCAAGGTGATCATTGATCTTCCGGTGAAATAGGCACGAGCACTTCCTTTTCAGGACGTGGTTGCCATGCCTGCGCCACAAACAAACTCCATGTTTAATCATAAAACGTGAGGACTTTAACATTCATGCAATACCAGCCAGCCATTTCCGATCGAATAGTGGTAGCCTAGAAATTTACGCGAAAGCGACATTCTTATCTTGATCAGCCATCGAACAACGAGTCGACGAAGACGTTGTGCCGTCCGCCAGCGCGCTTGCATTGGCGAAAGGGCTGCGGGTGCGCAAGATAATCCCCAATTCCGTGGGCGACTTTCGAAACACCACGGCCAAGCTGGTGTAGGGCGGGTTATACGATGCGTCGGCGACGGGGAAATGCGCCACGAGGGTGCACTGCGGAAGAGCAGGCGGCGCGGCGTCACGCTGCGACGCCCAGGACGTGATCATGGCCGTGGATTTGTAAAACATCCATGGCAGGGCCCCCGACACTGCCCGGCGATACGGAACAGATTGGAGGGACGCTCGTAAGAGCGATGGAGAGGCATAGTCTTGGGGCTGGTACCCCACAAGGGTGGTGTAGTTGCCAGCCAGGTCGTGCGTCACGTGGGGGTATTTGTCTCGGGTGTTGACAACCATAAAGCCGACGTCGGCGCGGCACAGCTGAAAGTACCACGACGTAATAATGTCGTTGGTCGATACTGCTGTCGTCGGCAGGGCAGCTTCTTTTTCACTGGTGATCCATTCGTTGCTCAACGTGTGGACAGAAATCGTCGGCGTCGGCGACACCAACGCGGTCGAAGCCATGTGCCAAAGCATAGAGACCGACCGGTGCAAGTCCATGGTGTCGTTGTAGCCCTTCGCACGCATGGGCAGATCGGGGTGCCGACGGGGAGTTAACGCGGAGGGGGTACAAGCAGCGCCAAACATGTTGAACACGCGGTAGTAAGTGTAGCCATCGGCCACAACGTGGCTCAGTGACATGTAAAATGCCCCTACAGTGGGGGAGATGGAGATCCATGCCACGCGGAATATTGGTTGGTCAGGGTTTCCCACCAACTCGGTGCCTCGCAACACCGCCAACGGCTCCAACGAAGTCGTCAGGTCGTTATATGGCATGTCTGGCGACAACTGGGGGAGATCGTAGGCGCCAAGTTGCAACGGCTGATTGCGGTGTTCTACTTCGAGAACAAGTCCATCTTTGGAACGCTTTAATTGGCCCCGGAGCCATGGGTTGCACGCGGTGATGCCGCCCAGTCGAGCTTGGAGGAAGGCTTTGATTCCGTCGTGAGAATTGCCATCGTCGAACGACGTTGTGGTGTAGAACGTGATCGAAGAGATGGACGACACGCGCAAAAGATACACCTCCAACGGCAGGAGCGGGATTTCGTCCATCGTAGCAGATCAAACTATGAAGTCGCAGGCACAATGATTTGGTTTTAACCGTGCGCGCCTTGGATAGGCAACAATAAAGTAATACTAACAGTAAATAATGTAATCTCTTGAAAAGCTGAACGCACGAGATTTGGAAAGATAACAGTGCCTTGACTAAGAGAATGCAGAGAACAACGGAAGTACTGTATGAAGGGTGAAGGGGTGGCCTGTCGGTAGTACAATATACTGTACTGGCAATAGCACGATTTGCTACATTATTCGAAGATGCGCGAATGTTGCTCTGTAGTAGATCACATAATCTTGGAAGTACAGTAGTCGCTCGCTTTGGTAAGGCCTTGGGGGAAAGTAGCCTCGATTGCAAACAACCATGAGAATGCACGTCAATACGGAGTGAATTTATTATGTACTGTAACGGTATACTGAGTTAAATTTAGTAACGTAAAGTGCTAATTTAAGGCGTAAGTGCCAATTTAAGTCGTATATCGGATAGCCAATCACCAGGCGAAGTCACTGCGCGACAAAACCTGTCGAACATAATAGAACATCAAACTCAAACTTTTATGAGGTTGGCGTAAAAAGGGTTTTCGACTCGATGGAAGAAGCTATTCGCGTGCATGGACTTACCGCCGAGCGTATATTGAACATGGATGAGACATCGTTTGCCTCGCGACACAAGTCAAAGGACGTTGTGGCTCTGAAGGGTTCGGGCAATGTTTGGGTCAAGACTATGATTGCTAGCTTCCACCTTTCTATTGAGGCGTGAACTGCTTTGCTTACCTGCAACAGCAAAAAAACGTGTTGGTCGCAAGCGCATTGACGTCGCCGGACGCATTCTTACCCTAGAACTCATGCACGAAATCGATCAAACGAAGAAAGAACGGGATGCAGCGGCTAAGAAGACAAAGGAGATGCGTGCAATCCGAGCCAAAAAGAAAAAGAAAAATGAAATTACCTCGATCGGCGCTGACGAGCAAGGCCTTGATGATGTGGACGGTGACGAAAACAATGTCGGCGACGACAACGAAGACGCAGAGCTGGCTGAATTCGTTTGCCTAGAGGAAGTAGTGGTTTAGTTCTTGATAATGAAATCATCATTCTCCTCTTACACTCTTGGCTGTGGGTGGTGTTCGTTGTAATAAAGTGCGCAGAGCCAAATTGAAAATGGTCTCCAAAGATTTCGTAGGACTCAGGAAACGTATAACCTGTTAGAATAAATAATTTCCCTGTCGAAATCAAATACCCTAATCGCAGAATTTCGATGCAAAACGTAATACAAAATGCAAGGTTAAATTATACGACTTAAATTGGCACTCAGACCAAATGCAAGCGTGTTTACAAAATTGCATTTATGCACCTCTAAATTACCTTAATACATCATGCCTCTGTTTCGATTGGGTTGTGGAGTGATTTCTCTACACGGGGAACGCTTACTAACCCTTTTTGTCCTGCAATGTAGTACTAGTACTACGCAGTAAGCTTTATACTCACTACAACACCGTTGACCTTAATTAGTTCTAATTGGGCCGGATCAAACGTTTGGATTGGCAGAAATTCACCGGAACGTGATTTGATTGGCCTAGGCGGTTCTTTAATCCATTCTCTTAAGCTTAAAACAATCGATTCTGAGGGCTCCAGTTCCGAATCAATTTGACAATAACGTAAGTTAACTGTAAAATCAATGTTTGTCATAATTTATGACAATGTTGACTATCCACAAAGTACATGAATTCGTCGTTGCATTGCTCAGCAACGGCATGTCTGGGCGTGATATATTAAATATGAAAAGTGAAGTCGTGGTTGCGGGCTACATATCAAAATAGGTGTGCCACGAATGCAATTATTTAGCATGCGTGAAGTGACCTCAAATATGCCATAAAAATGAATTATAGGATGCATTGGGTGTGATTATATCCTTCAATAAGCATCGTAACACCGTCCATAACACTTTATTACGTAGTAGCGATGAACACGCTACCAAGTTCATGAGTTCTCTGAGCCAGGAAACAGCACATAAATCACAGCATTTTGGCGTAAACTTCAAATACACCATAAATTAAGATGACTACTACGTAGTAACAATTCATCTTGAGCAATAATGTAAAACGTACGCTGTTATGTTATGTTATGTTATAATTCTTAACATTACATGTCATATTTTTACAGTTAGAACTTCCCCTAAGAGCATCTCCAACGGCGTTTTTATTTCTATTTCAATTCGAAGTTACGGATATAGAATAGAAATTATTGCACTATCCGGAGGGTTTGTTGCTATTTCACGCGAAAATAGAAATTCTGCGAGTCGAAATTTCTAAAAAGTCCGGATAGTGCCAAAATAGCGAAGTTTGACTTTAACCTATGCTTTAGCAATAGGTTAGAATTTACCGTTGGAGATGCTCTTAGAGCATCTCCTACGGTAAATTAATAAGAGCGTGGTCTCCGAATTTTTTTTCCTGCTTTCATGCATTCAAGCTTTGTCCGGATAAAATTTATTCGGATTAGTTGTGTTTTTCTGGTCTGTGAAGACATTCCTGCTTCGCCACGATGGACATTTTCAATCGGGTTGCTGTTGCCATGGCTACAGCCGTATGCGCAGTGTGTAGTCGGTAGCTACTACGCCTCTTGGTGCTAAATACAATTTGTTGTTGACCATCACTCAAGTTGACTTTGACGCTATGCTTGGTGACGCACGATACGAGCAGTGGTTCCACGACAACCTTCGCTGTGACCAAACTGTCATCCGCCGACTTGTGAACTTGCTACACCAACGTTTGCAACCCAACGAGCGTCAATCCAGCCACTCCTTCGAGAAGAAGGTGTCCGTGACGCTGTACTTCTTGGGGTCCGAAGGTGACTATCGAGAGACAGCGGCAGCATTTGGAATGGCCAAATCGTGGTGTATCACAGTCGTGGCGACCGTGGTGGATGTGTTGGCGAGCCAAGCAAAGTTGTGGATACGCCTGTCGACCTATTCTGGTGACTGGAGTCGCATCGAACGTGGCTTCTACAAGGTACAACGATTTCCGGGCGTTGTTGGAGCTTTGGATGGTACTCTCATTGACATCCAACTGCCCCGTGAGTACGATGATTTTCACAATCGAAGCGATGACCCCTCTCTCAATGTTCAAGCAATGGTGGACCACCGTATGGTATTTTTGTCCGTGGACATCCGTCCTGGTTCGTTCCCCGGCAAAAAAGATTGGAAGGTCGCAGCTGGGCCAAACAATTCATCGCTATATTCCTACCGGCAGCCACGTTATTGGCGATTCTGGATACACATTGCTGCCATGGTTGTTGACCTCATATGTGCCGCACGAAGAAGGCGGTCGTTTGTCCAACACACAAAAGCTATTCAACTACAAGTTTCCAGCACTCGAATGGTGGTCGAGTGTGCGTTCGGGTGCCTCAAGGAGAGATTCCGGATTTTGAAAACCGTGATGAACGAAAGATCATTGGACCGGACGGTCGCCATCACTACATGTTGCTTCGTACTGCACAACATGTTTATCCGCTTTAACGACGGACTTTTCGATGCGCCTTGTTACCGTCGCGATCAGAATATATATTTCCAACAGGCCGATGAAAGTGAAACGGAAACGAATAGTTTGATTCGTCGAACATCAATTTCAAAAAGAAATGGCATTGCAAAGATTATAGTAATTTGATAATCTAAATCTTACTTTTCCTTTTGTGCGTTTAAATGCGCAACGAGTTGAGCAATCGTCTGAGACTGAATGGCTTGCAATACATCGTCCAATGTTGCCCCTGTTGGCGGGGTGGGCTGTGGATTTGGCGCCGCTGAGAGTGATGACCCCAAATGAATCAAACCATCCTTAATGACCATAAATACGGCCTCCAACGCCTCGCTGTGGCTCTTTGACTTGGATGGGTTGGTTTTTTTTTCTTGCGACTGCGCAACATTTGTCATCAAATCGACATACCTTGTCTTGCACTTGAGCGACAGAGTATTCCTTCTCCGTGGCCACGCTTAGCTCGGCAGCCAGCATCACGTAAGCAGTCTTCTTGTTGGCGTTGTTCTTCGAGTAAAACCGCGCAGACAGCTGAAACTTGTACCGCAACCGAAACAAAGCAGCAACGCCATCATCGTCCCACAAAGGTGTGCACTTGGGCGTCTTGGCTAGGGCTGGAAGATTACTGTCTAATACGTATGAATTTGATGATTCTATAGTCTACAACTCGTACCATCGTGATCAAAGTCTAGCTCAAGCGTGACTTCATCGTCGTTCATTGTGCTGTCTCCAATATTAAACGACTGGGCAGGAATGCAGGCGTGAACAACCCATCAACGCCTCAAGCCACGGTTTTAGGCAGGGACATTATGCGGATTTCGGATAATTCTAGCCAATCAACGCAATATTTTCCAAGCAGGAACACCCAAAAGCAAGAACAATTTCTTCGGAGACCACGCTCTAAGCGGAAGTTCCAAGTAGTTTTCAGAAATAGCACGAACCAATCAGATTCATTTCTACCTTATTTTTTCTCGATTTAGAAAAAGACGTCAATTACCTCTTTTTGCTATTTTGGTGTGGTAATGTGAATTCCAAGTAAAAACAAGAGTTGATTGGCCAAACCAAACGAGAAACTTTGCATGAGGCGAGAGTTGGTGGTCACGAAAGCTGCAATGGCGGCGGTGATCATCGCCACGATGGACGGACACTCTGATCGACACTTACCAACACAACGGATCAGTATCTGCACAGACACCTGGGTTGTGCGGATACTGAACCGTTGTGTTGGTGAGCAGGACGACGAACAGCTTGATGGTTGATTTCACAGAAACTTCCGATGCAGCCGGCCGTCGTTTGGTGTGATTGCGACCAAAGTCCAAGACAGATGGGGCCAGCTTCACGAGCCCTTGGATCACAACGGTGTCTTCTCCATCCGCGACAGGGTTGCCGTGACGATTGACTAACTGACGCATGGTGGTAGTCTTTCCAGTTCTGGCCTAGTCTTCGGCATGTCAAAAACACGATCACACGCATACGTCCAAGAAGTAACGCTGGGTATTTTGACGCACCTGTACGAGGTCATCCACCTACCAACGTCGAACGATAAATGGACAAGTAACACCGAGGCGTTCGAGAGCATGTGTGTGGTTCCGAACGTTGTGGGTGTCCTCGACGGGTCGCTTGTGAAAGTCAACCGGTTTACCGACCATGATGGATGGTACTGCCGAAAGGGATTTCCTTCGTTCAATATACAAGGTAGAGCATTGGATACCAACTCGATTACAATATGCGTATGTTTTAGGTGTTGTCGACCATAACCTGAAGTTCATGTCATACTCAATTCGAAGTGGATCCCAAAATGACAAAGCTCTTTTCAACAAGTCTCGATTCGGACAGACTGCGCATATGGTAAAATGTACTACAAATTCAACTTATAATGAGACAAATAAATTATATGACTTAAAAAATGATTTTTTTTCGTGTAGTTGATCCCAGACGGAATGTATTTCCTTGGCGATGCCGGGTACAAACTAATGAAGCATGCACTCACTTCCTTCAAGATGTCCTATAGAATGCCGGATGACGAAGCACACTAAAACTACCTACACAGCCGGACTCGTATTTGGGTCTAGCGAGCATTTGCTTTGTGGAAAAACAAATTTAGGATTTTCAAGGAAGATTTAACTCAACACACACCCCAAGGTAAATTATACCAACCACAATATATGAGACTCAACGAATGATGCATAGAAATGGCACTGTTGATCTAGACTACGATGATATTACACAACTGGATAATCGACATTAGCGAGCAAGGTGATGACAACGACGCTCGCGAGGAGTGGATGCATATCGGAGGCGATCTGATCCCGATTGAAGCCATTAACCTTGTCGAAGGAGAGTCAGCAGAGTATGCACGAAATACCATAAAATACTACTTGTGGCGCACGTTCAGTTAATGACGTTAACAAACAATTAACTCGCCCTACATAATTTTTATACTAAGTTGGTGGTGACGTTATGTACAGTGCTACAATATGTAGTTACCTAATCAGTTTGCGTGAATGAATATGTATATGTACTTAACACATAAATTTGCGTGAATGAATCAATTATTGTTATTCGTTCTTAAGATGCTTCAACAGCGCGAGTTGAATTACATTTCCAGCGTCAATACTATTCAAGAGAGCCGCATTTTTACTGTTTTGAAGTCCGATATCGACTCTAGCACGACCTGTAGTTGCTTCGAAACGCCGCCGTTCACACCACCGTTGTGCGACAGGGCTGCAGCATCCACCAACCCTTTTGCCATAATTTCTCCCATCGACACTAGTCCCGACGCAACATCAATTTTGCCCTTCTTGCGCCGTTCCCGCTGTCGCTGCATTTCAGGTTGCAATTCGAGTTTGCGCTGCCCAGGGCCGTTCGACACGTGGCAGGCGTCATCCACGTTGGTCACGTCGTCCTTAAGTCCGTCGGCGGTCGAAATGTCATCCACTGATTTCGCCGGAGAAGGCGGATCACTCGTTCCAAATTCATGGTGGCCCAGTCCCGTCTTATCCCCGAAGTGCTCAACGAGAAAATCCCAATACGTTGGTAGGTCAAACGGTTGCTCCGTCGCATTTCCAGTTTCTTTGTCCATCGACCACCGAAGCGTGGAGAACTCTGACTTGACGGCTTGGAACTTGTTCTTCAAATTTGGCACCTCGATCGCTGTCATCATCTTGAAATTACACAACAAGGCGGTTCTCTCCCATGCCGCCACCAGTTGTGCTTTGCTCTTGTTGCCGTCAAAGTATTTCTTGTTCGTTTCGAAGCGACACGCAAGGAGGCACTAGACCATTGCGTCGGTCCATTTCACGTTGGGCACGGACGGCCCAGCCTCGCCTTCAAGGTTTGCTCCCAGCTGTCTCGCGCTCCAGTAGGTCTTTCTTGGTTGGAGCTTTGTTCGGTCCGCGTGGCTTGGCCATGAGAGCTTTCTGTGTATTGTTGAAATGCAGAAATGACCACTTCATGATGCACTGACGGCTTTGACCGCAAAACCAATCATCAAATCAAATCTTGACAAACTTGCCGCGATAAAAATCTATGATATGGTCGTTGGCCAAAGAAAACATCGAATTCGTGTAAGTTAAAATTGTAGAAAATGACTTCAAAAATTGGACACTATACTTGGGAAAAATTTCTTTCATTTTTGATTTGCCAAATATGATCTACTCGGAACTGGGCATACAGTTACTCCGAATAATAAGTTATGCAACCGTTTTGTGTCAGTCCAGGAAATCAGCGCAATCGATCGAGAAGTAGGCCCTGGTCGGTCAAAATGGCAATTAAAAGTAGTGCACCGCTGCTTTCATTCTCAGGCTGAGCACGATTTGATTCTAGCATGATATATGGTGACTATGAACAATAATGCACAACCATATCGTTCGAGGATCGAAGAGCGCAGCCTCCAGGTTAAAGCCCTCAATTTCCCCTTTCGCATCATCCAATCAGCTCCGCCATACTAAATAGTCCATACCAATTTGAATTTCACTTCCAATTATTGTGATAAATATCGCGATATTATTGTGGGACGGAGGGAGTATTTTGTTGGGGTGTTGGGTTTTGCTTTCTCGGGATCTACTCAGTACGTGTGTATTCGTTGTTAGTCCTCACCTTGTATTGCTTGCACACGAATAGAAATAGTTGCGATGCCATAGCTACGTTTGCAACAGATCACAACGACTGACGTAAACTCTGCACATTACAGTATCGTTCATTCGTTTGGCTGTACATGGGTAATATTAATATTACCTGGACCTGGATCGACGATATTCGTACTACTAGCCGAGCTACAAAACAGCGGAAAGCAGAATGCAAGGCCCAACGAAGTATCCATTATTACTAATGTAGTATTGTCCAATGAAATAATTTCGCACATATACTGTGTTTTGATTGGATATATTTTTATTCTCCCGCCAAAGCGCCAATTCAATTAATTTCAAGTCATTCTTTTACAATGGCGCGCATCATCCGATAGCATTCATGCTTCAAGCGTTGGGTCAACTTGAGACAATGAACGACTATGAAGTCGCCGCCGAGCTTGGTGTAGCGTGGCGCACCATTCGAAACTGGCAAAGCAAACGCTCCGAACTCCTAGCCTACAAAGGCAACAAGAAACGAATGAAGCTCAAACCTGGTGGCCGCCCAGAAGTATTTCGTGACTCACCCGGAATTCTTGAGTTCATCCATGGATTGAGGGACGCTGAGCGTGCGCTTACCACGATCCATATGGTCACCTGGATCAAGCGTAACCAGCGTGCATGGCACGTATCGTACTTGGCAAACAAGAAGCCGGGCACTGGATACAACTCCCTCCTCCTCCTTCTCCGACGCTTTTCCGCTCGACATGGACTTTCGAGACAACGACCTGGTACAAGCAAACGGAGCCAGGAAGACCTGGAGGACACGTGCGACATCTTTGCGGCAGAATTTCATCGTGAGTATCGTGCCCATGAGTCGGAAGCGTGTACAACGTAGACGAGACAGGTATATATTACGATATGCTGCCTACCTACATTTGGGCTGTTCGCGGTGACAGCTCGAACGGAGGAGAACCACTCCTTGCGATTGACTGCAGTCTTGACTGCCAAAGCGGATGGAACGAAGCTGCCTATTTTATTCATCATGAAGGGTGTACCTAGTGGCCGCATTGAGGCGAAGGAGTTTCCGACCATTCTCGCCGGTCACTCCTACGCTGTTCAAGAAAAAGCCTGGATGGACGGTCGCGTTTGGAAGACTTACCTGCGCACGGTGCTGCATGACGACGTCAAAGAAACGTCCGTTATCCTTGTGCATAATTTCGAATCGCACGTGTCTGAGGCTTTCTACAAGATTATCAACAAACAGCTTGGATCGCACCTCTGCCCATTGCAGCCGAATTCGACGTCCATGTACCAACCCCTTGACGTCGGCGTGATCGGCACCTACGGGAACTGTGGCTTTACGAAGACATCATCATGGGAGATAACGACGATCCATTTTCACTTACCGCTCGTCAAAACGGTTGGCCTTGATCAAGAGAGCCATCGCCGCTTGGGACATGGTGTCCACGGAGATGATTCGTGGCAGCTTTGAAAAGGAACTTCCTCAGGAGCCAATGGATTGTCAATAATTCGATTTTGTACGGTGTGTTTATATCATTAAGATTTTTGTATGAGCCGCAATGATTTAAAACAAAATAGGAAATTTTTTGACACTCCCCGGGAATTGAACCCGTGGCCCTTCCTCTATAATTGTTATGCCGTCGCACTAAACCATTTCGCCACCGCGTCAAACGCTTACGCTTGTTCCGTGTTTGCATGGTCTTCGACAATACTCCGCACGCCGTCCAAAATCTTGGCAGGCATGGATATCAAAATCACTTCGTTTTTTTCCAATTTCCTGTACATTTCAACATAAGGAGGGATTCCACTGGCACGTAAGCATGACGATGTTGAGCCCGATATCACAATAGTAGTAAGACTGGCAAACAGGTCTGGATTCGTAAACAGCGATGTGGACAGCAGGGCATGGTGAGGAGGCAAGGACCCAATCAAAAAATTTCGGTGATACACCAAACTCGCCAAAATTAGCTGTAAAATT